AGATATTATATTGAATGTTGAATGTATAATAAATTATATAATCCGCAACTAGCCGTGATTTTTTATGTAAAAAGTTGTTTGGGTAAAAGTTATTTCCTATCTTATGCTTGCGACTTTTCATAATTAATTCAAGTAATAAATTATTTCATTGCGAGTGGTAAAACACAGCAGTAAATATCAATTTGTCCACAGAAAGGCGAGTGAAAAGCAAAGCGTGTGGGATAACATAAAGTATTTTGTCGCTACCGCCTATGCATTGTATAATCAGCTGATAAATCCGTGTTACCGAGCTATTGCATCCTGTTTTTAGCTGAAAAACTCTTACGCATTAGATCCTATTTGGTTTGTATTTCGCTGCCTTTGTTCTATTGAATCGTTTTAACAGATGGTGCTCTATATGTGGCACATTGCCTGGTTTTTGTTCGTTTCTGTCTACACTTATTATGTTCTCATAATAATTGGTAAATGAAGCGAAGCGTCTTTTATGGTGAGCGTTTGGACACCTTATGTATCTTATTACAAGCTACTCAGAAATCTCAGCTGGACTTATCTCAAATTGATCGCATGTTCTCTGCTGAAGGCCGTCTCCGTGGGTAATTATGCCGCTGCACGGAAAACTCTGCAGCATTCTTGAGAACCAATTTATTTGTTTCAATTGCAGTAAAATGGGCAGTATGGGCAATGGATTTGCCAAACAACTTATTCTGGGATTCGCGGCTGTGATTGACCGTAATTAGCTGCCGCCACTGGTAATTTCAGGGCAATCGAGGCTGTTGGTATGGAGGCGTTGCAGTCTCTATTACTGATCGAGCTCATCAATCTTATTGAGGGCGATCTACTCCAAAATTTGGCCGCGACTGAGCATTCTAAATCAGAAAATTGATGCTTAATGTAAGGCTGATCAAATTAATTATTATTCAATGCTCGTGAAATTTAAAAACTTTAAACCGAGTATGTGGAATTAATTTAAATGGCATTCTTTCATATATTTGATACCACTTTAATTCCAATACACAAACTTAGTAGTATTATGAATAAGATCAGCACTGCCATAATATTATTTCAATGCATCTTCATTCAATATTTCATTCACGTCGACACGCTGATCCATCATTCCATTGCTCCATGCATGTTCTTATTGAGAGATTTCGTCTCTGAGCGTAACATTGTTATTTAAATCTCCGTCAAAGCCGCATTTCTGCTGTTTGATTAAAGTTTATGGTATATGCAAATTTGTGGCACTATGTTTACATGCAACACCTCGCTAGGCTCTGGCCGCCCACTTAATAGCCCCGCTTATGTTGTTTTTTTTTTTCTTACGTTCCGTGATAGTGAAACAAACTCGCGTGTTTTGCTTACCGCTCAGTAACTACTAGCTGGAAAAACGTCTCAATTTCTATGCAAATTGGCACTCACACTCGTACGTGTTTATGCTAACATAAGGAGCTACTGATGCCGCAGTGTAAACCGCGCACAGCAAGCTGTGTTCGAAGCTCAAAGCTCGTGTTTCTTTTTCAATACTTATTGAACACTAAGCTTCTTGTTACATTAATTTGGTTTCGATTATGTCCTCTATTCTTAGTTTTTTGGATGCTTTTGTGAGAATGTATTTTGACCAAATAATAGCTATATACACAAATACCCTGTCGGCGTTCGATCACGTGGAGTTCCCGTATATTTTTTTTAGTTTGTGCAAGCTATCTGCAGTGTTGCTATTCATAGAGTTGTGAAGAAAAGTGCCGCGTCACAGCAAAGCCTTTAAGTTCAATTTGTGCAACATGTTTCAGAGCTCATTGTAGCTAGGGACGAGCTAGTGGCTAGTTATGTCTAGGCGGGGCTTCTTGCGTACGTACAATAGACCTGGACATGTCACTCATACGTCACGTTCTTGAGAAGCCCTACTTGCTGGTTCTTTTGCACTTTCTATCTACTTTTTAATCAGCTGTTCTGTTCAAGCGATTAATCTTCATCTTTCATTGCATAGCGTCACATTCAACTTGCATTAAAAATTTTAATGTTGCTAAATATTCAACGAAAGCAAGTTTCAATTATAGATTAATATTAAAATGCTGCTACGGTGTATAAGATCCTCCAGAGACACTCTCAGCCTAATGGCTCTCTGTCTCAGTTTGTTCTCTGCTCATTTGTTGCTCGATGTTCACCTCGCTGCGCCTTGAAATAATTTTTTGAAATGTTGGAAATTTCGGTGTCTTGTTGTTCATCTCGGTATGAGCATTCAACAAAGTCGAAATTCTCAAGGTAAATTTTCCTAATTATTTTAATCCCCTCTAAAAGTTTAAGGGGGTTCTATTCTCACCAGTCAGTGAAATATGGGAATCAAAGCATCTTCAATTGAAATATGAACTGTGAAGTTTTATTGACCATAGAACGCTGATAAGTGTGGGGCAACCCAAACAGCGTACCCAGGCTTGAGAGTGAAATATGATTGTCACAAAACACGAGTTAGTTCAGTTCTGCTATTTAATTCAGTATTCTTTTCCCCGTGCGCAATATGATTTATTCGTGTGTATTTTGTTCAATGCAATGTTTTTATCGCAAAAAAGTACTCTTGGAAGATCCGAATTCCAGGTAACTTATCAGAAGAGATTTTACTTCCAATTGCTTCATTAAGACCGCAATTTGGCAACTAGGCATCGATTGCATGCTTCATTAAACTTTTAGTCTCACGATGCTCAGTTCTAATATTACGATTTAAAGATTAATTTTTTGGCGAAACCAATAGTGGGTACAGTAGAATTACATGGTTTCCATATTCTTGTTGATACCTACCTTGATAGGCCAATACATTTTGGAGTTAGTTTTATAATAAGCCACCGAATTGTTTTGCATGAAATTACAATTTAAAAAATATGTTCTTAAATTTTGCTTGGTGCGTGTTTTTTAACCCTAGAACAAGAACATATTTTTTGTATTTCTTCTGATGTAGAGAATATTTTTTTTTAATTCAATACTAATGATGTTGTAGGAAGCTTGCTAATATTCCTATTGCTACAAATTTATAATCGTCAAATGATTTTACGTCATCAATCCCCTGGCACAAAAAAGTACTTCTACAACAGTTTGGTTTCGCACGAGTGTTGATTTTCCGCGCCCACTTGCCGGAGTGTCTGTGTAGGGTGAGACGCGTCCGTCTATGGCGCTAAAAGAATAGTTGAGCGTCGCCTTATCTGGAGCTGGGAGATTGTTGGCTACTCAAGTCCTGGTGTCGAGGTTTTAAGATCAGTTCCAGCTGCATGAACGGCTTCCCTGCGGCCACTGCAATCAAATCTCGGCAAGCAGGTTGCCTTGGCGCCTCTCCGCCCGCCTCATTTGCTCTTTCACCTTCAAAATATAGCCAACGCTCTAATTTAAAGAGCTAGCATCCTACCTTGAGAGAGCGTTGTTGAAAGATTATCTTATTTTGCGTGCTGCCCGAAGCCGGTTTGTTACTAGCGTTGGAGAAAAAAAGATCGATAAGCCTACGTCTGTTAGTTTGGGTTGCATTATAGGCTGCGGGAAAACACTCGGCTCAAATCTCAGAATAGACAACAATAAAGATGCACACGACGCCGGCGGGGCGGCAAGCTTCCCGTTTTGATGAGATAAGATGCGACAAATCATATTGCCCACTAGGATTATGGCATCCATTCTCCTGGCGTACGGACATCATCGCTGCTCATGCGTAGTTTCTCATGCGATGTTCGTGTTGAAGCGACTGCGAGGCTTCTCATTCTATGTAATGCATTTTCTCCTTGCAAATAGTTGAAGGAGGAGCATTTTTTTTCGTTTCCTTCTCGTGCTGATCATTTCTCTGCATATTAATATTATTAGACAGTAATATTAGCTCCATCATGCAAAATCACGTGATGTATATGTTCTGAAACCGGTGCATGTCAGTTCGTACGCTGAAATCTGGAATGCTACTCTATTCGCCATGTTAAATGACCATTTATGTTCCAAAACTGGCAACCAAAGACAGCGAGCTCGATCGATGCCTCGACGGCAACTTGACGGGGTGCATATGTATGTTTCAGCCTCCCTTTTTAAAGGCCGCATTGAAATTCTACCGGATGGTTTTGGAACTTTCAGCTACTTCATGTGTTTAACTCAACCTAGTTACTAGATATGATGCCGGAAGCTAAACATAGTTATTAGATATGATGCCGTTTGGAAAACGCTTTTGGCGACGAGAATTAGATTGAAAGCCATCTAAACTTATTTGCGAAGAAATGGTCCCACGGCATTTTCCGTAGTTGCGCATTCAAATTGAACCAGCATAATTATATTGTCTATAAATTTCAAGTCAATATTTGTAGTTTAAGAGCACTTGGATAGTGCGCTGCTTTAAAATAATTCTTAAAAATGAGAAATTAGGTGATGCACTAATTCTACTACGTTCAATATCTGAAATGGACAAAAATATAGCAAAATGACGTTGAAAGTCTACGTTTGGGAAACGATGGTTTAAAAATTGGTATGTAATTTACAGTGCTGTCTCGTTTACATGAAGCGTTTTAAAAAGTTTCACGGAGCGTTTTTCAAGTGCGTATTCTTAATTTCGTATAATTTGCTCACATTTTAGTTAGCTTAAATTTTCTATTTAGCTACTTAGTTTTACAATTTGTCGTTACCAAATATGGTGTAGAGGACGAGAAATTTCGTTCTTTCTTCGTTACCGACTTCTAACTATAAAAAAATACTAATGCAGATATGTTGTGTCTCTTAAAGTGATTTATTTCGAGGCCTTCAGCAATACTCAGGAATCAGGAATTTATTTCAGGAATTTATTGCTTTCATTTGTATAGTGATTTGTTCAGTCACAATATTAGTTAAATGATTTTAGATGATGATTTACTTTCAATTTATGCTTGCAAAATTTTGTGATTATCGTCAGTTTGAGTTTGTTGAATACTTGTTGCATTATGGAATCTCATACTATAAATTTCTTGTATTAAACAATTCAAATTGTGTTCTAATGTGTTACTTTATTTTCTTGACAGGAAGGGAACCGATTCCGCGTTCCGATGGATACGAAGTTTTACCGCGTGCATGTTCGCCTTCCTGAGTGCGTGCGTCAAGCGTCGGCGATGCCCACCGAGCCTCCCATATTCAACCCATCTGCATGCCTTCTGCAGTATCTGTCCATTGTGCAGCCGACCCCTCTTCTCCTCGCAACTTGTGACCAAAAGGAACTAGTGAGCAAGCAGAAGTTGCAACTTGAGTGCCTTAGGCAAAGCCTGGAACAAAAAGGTTCATACAGCGACACGATATGCAGTGCTCGCAAAGGACACTCGGCTACAAAACTCAAGAAACGGAAAAGCAAGAGGAAAGACTCGGTCATTGAAGAGTGTTCTTTGAGTATAACAACGTCTACCGATGTTACATCGATTGCTGATTCAGAAGAATCCTTTGGTTGTATCCCCAAGGTGCGCTTTACTCTAGGAACTCAAGAACAAATTAGTCGGGATTCTTCTAGCATGAGCGTTGCTATCCGGGCTGCTCCTAGGTTAACCGTCATGCGAGAAGATTCCAGTAGTTTAGATTTGTGCTTGAAATCACGTGTCGCCCCTCGTCTTTCCGCTCTTGCAGCCACAGCTACTGTGGGAGAACCTCAACCTGACACGACGGAACTCCGTCGTTCTCATTCTGCTAATTCTTGTCCGGCGAGTGCAACATGCGAAACCTCCTCTATTCACACCGAGGCCTCCGTGCTTGAGTCTTTGGCGGCCACCGAAGACGCGTCATCAGCTGAAGAAGCAGACGAGTCTTCAGGGCTGGCGACCCCCGGCGCCGAACTCGGACCAGCTGAGGGGTCATCAACGGACCACGGCCGACAACAGATGTCTTCACAGACGGCAGCTAACCCCTCTGATATTTGCGAAATAGAATGATCGAAGTGAGATCTAGAATGATTGAAACAAATTTTATTTAAGCTAGTAATTCTCCATTGGACAGTTTTTCAATTGCAAGTCAAATAGGAATAGAGGTCTCTTTTTCACTCTTAAATGAGAGTACATTTTAACGTGAAGAATAGCAACACTTTTCGCACAAGCTCGATCAAACTCGCCTAATCGTTATTATAATTGCTAGCACAACGACAGCCTGTTGGAGTTATATATTTTATTACAGGTACAATGTTTCATAGTATTTAACTCTTGTCGAACTGTATTGGCACAACTGCCTACTCTCGATATGGTTACAACATTGTAATGTTATGCAGTCTGACAAGGGCTAAACTCAGTTTCGCTGCAGGTCCTAATGCTGCTTTGTGACTATGTAAAGCATTAGTGGCGTCGTAATGAGTCGCCTGTGTGTTGTGCAGATTTAAACATCACGAGTACCTTTTTAATGTCTAATAACGTAATAAATTAATTGATTATAATAAACTATTGATTCTGCTTCAATGGCGCATCTTCAATAACGATAAATGCGAAAGAAATATTACCATAATGCAGCTGTACTGTTTCGTTTTCGCTCCAGTTTTGTTTCTTTGACTAAAAAAATTCATCGCATTGAATGTTTCTTAAGTTTTTAAATCTTCCTGAAATGTTCTTTTATGACTACAATTTAGGTGCTTCTCCTTTCGGCTGCTGACTTATTCTGATTTTTTTTTCTCGGAAATTCCATGTTTCATAAAGAATTTGGTCTAGTGACTAAAGCGGAAGTATTCTCAATTCTTCACACATTTCTTTCACGGAAGGTATAATTTGATTAAATTGGAATATTTAGCTGCATGAGTGCTGAGAATTTTCTGATTTCCCAGCGTTTGTATGTGATGATGGTAAGCTGACAATATTTCTAGGTTTGTTTTATTCGAATCATTATTGGTGTACAAATCAGGAATCTGGATTCTAGATACCTTAGGTATACTGTCTATGCCGCGGATGTGTTGAAGAAATGCCTTGATTTACGTAACTCATCTCTTTTAGCTATTTAATGGTTTAGATTTATAATGATGGACATGCTGCGTTCAAGTTGAAGGCAGGACTTAGATTTTTAGTTGGAATTTAGGATTGCAACTCGGGCACCCGACTTGATGTGAAGCTAAAAAAGTCAGTGAAGATGAGAAGTCACATTATTCTTAATGTAAGCTTTATATGCTATTTTATTTTCTTTCAAAAACAGTTTTGTGACGTCTTTTAGAGTCTTGAATGTCATGCTAGCGTGACCCACTTCTAGATCTGCCCTTCTTTGTTTCTCACGTCATTTTCGTTTAATTTATTTGTTTGTCAGTTTGATATATAGAATAATGCTTCTCAATGGTTTGATCTGTGGAAGTATTCAAGGTGCACATGATTGGGTTATGTCTTCTTTCTTCTGAGTGGTCTGGGGTCTTCTGATGCATGTTGATGCTCGTCTGAAGTGCTATGGGATTTTCTCTCCCCTTGAGGAATTGTTCCTGAGCCTCAGAGCTCTGTGTATCTGACGGTGGGTCTCAGTTGCGGGATTGTTGTTATGTAGGCAGGGTTCTTTGCATTTATCTTCTCTGTCTCTTCCCTGCAGACGACCACGTCTAGGCGACCCCTTGTACGAGTGTTTCATTTTCTTTCGCTGTTTACCAGTCACTCTTAATATTTAGTTTCGTTAAGGTGTTATACGCTGTTCATTTTCGGTTAGTGTTCGCTTAGGTGTTCTTTTTCGTCAGCGATAACTGGTCAGCCATTTGAGAACATTCACCTCTTGTGGGTGATAAATTTTTTTTTTCGCTTTAATTGAAAATGTTGTGCTAATTTAGACCTTCCACCTCGTTGGTGATGTTAATTATTGACTTGCGTTGCGGGAAACTTAGTAGCTGAAGCGCTTGCAAACCATGTGCCTATTAAACTATTGACTTGAAGTGTTCAGGATTTTAAAAGTTGACTTTCTCAGTTTTTACAGATCCACCATTTTATTTCTGCGCTCAATAAGATTCTATGATCAATAGGCTTGTGTTGATCTGAAAGAAGCTATGAATTCTGATTGCTTGGTCTTTCTTAGCGTTTTTAAGAGGGGAACTAATAGTTCTGATGGAGTGGACACGCATAGCATTGTCAGTATTGATGTAGAGCTAGATTTTAACGCTAGAACGTTTGTCGTCATTTATTTTTGGGAGGTACATTCGTTGACTGTGACACCGAGGAAAGTCACTGTAGGGTTCACTGTTAGTGATGTTTTCTATTATTATTTTTCTATGGGGAGCATGATTAATTCATTTTATTGTCCTTTGTCAAAGATCACGTTTGTTGAGGAAGGAACGAATGAGCCTCTGACAATCTCATTCTCTTATTTTTAGAGCTTTTTCGTATTCTAAGTTTAGTTCTAAATTTTGTTTTAAAGTTCAGTGAGAGTCTCGCGACCATGCAGAGTTGATTGTCGTGAAATTAGTGTTCTGCAGGCTGGTCAGTCTGGTCACCTGTAATTTCCTTAATACCGAATACTTTAATAATGTTTTGATCTCGCACAATCTGAGTTGACCTGTCTAAAGATTCACGTCAATTCAAAAATGTGGTATTAGAAATCATTAATTTGAATGTAGACTGTATAATTTGATTTAATTTGAATAGTCAGCTGCATGAGTGCGGAGAATTTCATGATTTTCCAGCGTTTGTATGCAAAGGTGGCAAGCTGACAACATTTGTAGGTTTGTTAATTGAATAAAATAAGGTTAGGTATTTTCTGTTGGGCACTGGATAAGTTGCCTTAATGGAATTGATTATTCTTTTTAGTTCTTATTTGCGTATCACTCAAGCATGAGAGAAGTTACTCATCACAACGTATTCAATTCTCATCATTCGAGTGCTAATGCACATGTGGTCATAATCTATAACTTTCTGACGCCACGTTTCAGCTCGTGTTGAGTAAGCGGTACGCGTAAGAAATTTGTATTAATCTAGAATGTAAGTTTTCATTCAACCTCAAGTAATTGGGTTGACAATATTTTTAAGAATTTTCATAAGAATTTTAGTCTTGGTATTGCGTCATTTCAAGTTTCATCGGAAGGCGCGATCAGCTTGGCACAGGCGGCCATGCACGGAAATTCTTTCTAATAAAAGGAAACAATCATGGCTTGTTTATTTCTCCTTCAAAACTCTGCATGGGGGAGCACGGAGTTGACTATTTTAGATCGTAATAATTGCGCCGCAGATATTTGTTATCCAAGTTAATCTTCGTTTCTGTTTCCTCACCTCGGCTTTGAGATTCGTGCACGAGAGCTGCACCAAATATGATGAGTTCGGCCACGACAAAAAGATTGATTTAAATAATACCCATTGTACATACTATTTATTATTCGAAGCCGTGACAGCGTGATGGAAAATAATAATTTATTACCGAATTGCAATTTGAAATTCTTTGCATTGATACAAGCTGTAGAATTATCCGACAGACCTTCCTCCGATACCCCCTCTTCCTGCCACGGTGCTTGATCGTATCTCTGCCGTTTCTGCCCTCAAACAATCCTAGGCAATTTATACCAATTGCCTCCCCTCCTTGGCCCTCAGGCCTTCCTGTTTCCTCATGAACAGTCAACGTGGCGACGCTCTGTCTAGCTATGCTGCCCCGCGACCCTTCCGCGTAATGCAAAACTTTTGATCCGTAGTCAGCCTCAACCTCACGACTCGCGACATGGGCTATATTTTGAACTCTAATTACATTGCCTTTTTATGCACGGAAACAGGCAGTAGCTCGAGCACAGCGTGGAGCTAAGTCAAGCCATTTTTGTGACCAATTGTTTTCGGCCAACTTGAGTAGAATGAATTTACAGTCTCGTTATAAGTACTGTATTATATTTTTGCATCTGCGTCTATTTTTTGTCTTGTGGAAAAGTTTAATTTACTAGGCTGTATAAAGTTTTATTTTATCTGAATGAGTAAGCGCATGAATGCGATCCTTCCTGGATCGTGCAATAATTCAGGCATGTTGTTTATTCTGTTTAGTATTTTCCAATTTGAGTATCTTCGAATTAATTTTCTGGTAATTACAACTATAACTACATTGATTAAGTGAAGTTACATAACTACGCATCACTTCTCTAATTACTAATTTGCTCTTTCAAAATAATGTACAAACTTTCAGGCCAATTAACCTTTATCTATTGAATGTAAAGCTGATTATCAGGCAATTAGATTCGTATTGAGTTGGAAACGGTAAAATTTTACCCAAGCCAGGGGATAAGAAGCGTAATTGGGATTGTGATGTATTCAATATTTTCAACATTAGTCAGCATCCTACACCCACTAGCGGTAACTTACATATCTATTTCAATACTCACTTTGGCCACATCTCTACCAAGTCTTTTCAATGGATCCTGAAATTCTTTCATTTCGTAGTATGTATCGTCGGTCTCGAGGCTCTCCCTCCTCAACTTAATTGGGCCAATTTACCTTCATCAAATGGGCCCGTCCCTCGTAGGAAATACGCTCTCCGACTCCCGTTCCCTCGATGCCAACCCTCAACACTTCCCATGTCATCGAGGATGTTCGAATCCCCTACACTTCACTTCATAAAGTGTTTACGCCTGTTTCTTTCCGAGTCATATTAGGCAATAGTAACTTAAAGGGATTTCCTTTTAATGTGTATTTTGCAGTAAATAACGATCTAATAACAATAACAAAAATAGTAGAAATTTTAGGGAACAAATCTATTGCACTCGTACATTATTGATAGCTCGATCGAATTCCGAAAATGTTTTAATCTTGATGTTACCGATATCGTTCTGGTAATATCTGCTTCTTGCTCTGATGTGCAACCAGCACTATAGATTTCACATAAATAATTTGTATAGCTCAATTGAAGATAAATTATGTATCGTTAGACAGACCGTGTAAACTGATTGTCAAATTGTTATTTAAGTTTTCTTGAAATATTTCACTAATGTTATAATACTCATTGTAAACTGTAGCCTCTGGATGATAAAATCCTGCGCAGAGAAAAACTGAATTTGGAACTGTAATTTTTCATTAATATCTGTTGTAATTGAAATTAAGCTGTCAGAGCACTTGATAATGGCATGCATTATTGGCAAGAAGTCTCCGCTGAAAAGCGAATTTTCTGCGACAAAGGGTACAGACATAGCAGACGATACATAAGAATTGTGTAATTAAAGTAATGACCTATAAGTAATATTGTACACGTGGTGTAACAACAAAATGTCCCATATGACTAGCTTCTTTACATGGCATTACTGTTCAGTAACATTAGCTCCACTTAACATTACTATGCCGAAGGGATAATATCCTTGTCTTTAAACAAGTCTCATTAAGATTTGTCACAACTATTAACGTAAATAAGAAATACAAATAATATTTAATGCACACATTTCCGTATCATATAAACCAGCAGTCTATGTAGAAAGGCGCAGTACCCTAAGTAGTTACAAAATAATTATTTTGTAACTACTTATTTTTAAATAATTATTTCATCATCACTTATTCATTTGAAGCACGCAGACTTGCATTTTTATTTTGCAATAGTTTAGGTTCGATATATTCCATCGCATGACCATACTTTTAACCAATTTAACGTTTAATTTCTCGGTCAAGAGCCCTACAACAAGCAGTATTACTATTAAATTATCCATGAATTTATGAATTATTAATTGACTAGTTTTCGTTTCATTTCACTAAAGGGCTTTTGAATTTCCAAATTTCCGACTCCAATCGTGGGTGATGAAAGGCATGAAAGAAATATCAACTACGCACTTAACATCATACCTATAATGAGATCCTTTACTTTGACAAGTATCATATTGAGCAGCCTCGTCTTCCATAAGCACAATTTATTCAGAAACAACCCTTCCACTTTTCCATATTTTATTCTTACATCTAAGCCACTCGTTTTCACTCACCATTAAATTACTTGAAATATGGAAAATATTCCAAATTAAACTAAATACAGTTTAAGAAAATTAATAATCAAATGCTGTGAGATATTGTCCTGCATAGATCTCTAAGCCAGGTAGCTCACGGAATGTCGTATATTTGTTTGTACTAACGTTATAATGCACTTACTCTCATGAAACAGTTTGACGCTGACATTGCACGAATTATATCATTTGAGATTATTTCTAGACCTATAGACATACTGCGCGCTCTGCGACAGGTATCGTTTTCATCCTAATTGTGAATAATTAGAGCCTAACCGCAACTTTGCAGAACATCACGCGCCTAATAGATTCTTTTTAAAGGTGGAAATCAGCATTGCAACAAAGCATTACTTTCTTGCCAATTGGCAACATAATTTAAACGGTTCATCTCACATGTGATTCAGCACCAAAACGACTCTTTTTACAATTTGAAATCTCATAAGAAATTCTTTATTTCTGGTCTCGTGACTAATTTGTCGCACCTATTTTCACGGGTCTCAGATTTACATTTCAAACCTACATTTATATTATGATTTCCACTAAGCCTCGGCGTTAACCCCGGTCGTCACCTCTGTTCTCACATTTTTAGCGAAATTATCAATGCAGGTTTGTGAACTTTGATTTGAGTCGTTAGCTATGCAGTAAGACGACGTAAACATGGTAAGATCGTAGTTAGAATTTGTTCTTGCGTCTGGCCGAGGGTAAGCGAACTCGTGCTGCTGAGGCTCGCCATACATCGAAGTTGAGATCCTCAAGCCACAATTATCCGGTGGATCATTTACGGACGGGTAAATCGAGAAATGGACAGAATCTTGGGCGAATCTGTCTGGCGAGTTGTCGTTGCCGGCATTTGTTGAACACACACTGTAATTCGAAAATTCATTGCTTGTTACAGGAGATCCATGAGTAGTTTCGTGGGTGTCCAAGTTCTGGAATGTAGGAGGGGATTGGAGAGGGTCTGATATTGGCGATTTACCCTGGATCTGAGGGTAGCAGTCGTTATACTGATAAGCCGAACAAGAGAGGGGCATATCGTTGGATCCGAACGGTCCAGAAAATTTCCCAGGCATGGGAATGGCTCCCTCAGACTTCATGACGTTGGACATAAGCTGGGGCGGAATGTCGTGGTTGTGGTACAATGAATTAGACGCTTGTAGAGTGTCGCTCTGGACTCCACCGTACTGAGGATAGCTTGAACACGTGGCTTCGGGGTACAATGTTGAAGGATTGAGCATCACCTTCTCTTCTATAGACGCCGTTATTTTGGTAGTCTTCGTGATTGTCGTCATCATAGTGGGTGCGCCTTGCGGCGGCCATGGTTGTTGTGCACAATATTGCTGATTCGCTACGGTGTTATTTAACGAAAGTGAGTGTTGCATCTGTGGGTTTTCAGGACAAGATTCGTTAAGCAAACAGTCGCCTATGATATCATCAAGACACTGCAAAAATCTATTCGCTGTTGTATCTACAGCTTGACTTGTTTGCGTTGTATTGGTTGAGTTCGATAATGTTATCTGTTGGTTAGAACTATTTGCAATGTATGGATTTATTTGTGATGCTTCTCTCGAAGATGCGCCGATCTCAATTTGATGTTCATCGAGAGCGAAGATGTCACCTGGTTGAAACGTATCAAAAGAAAATAGACAATCTTGATCATCAGCTTGGTACGCTGTATCTATCGGCAGTTGGTTAGTTTCAACAACGCCGAGATTCGACCCCTGGGTTTGCAGAAAATTATTGTTAACATGAACTTCGGATTGGTTGTTGTAACTCCCTTGTGTTAATATTCCACTTGCGGTCTCTTGGTTAGTGGACCAAGTAGCCCAGGGCTCCTCTTTGTAGTGAATTGGCTGACTTTGATTTGGCCATTCTACAACCGGTGTCCACGGAGAGGTAGTCGAATACCCTTCCATGCCCGTTAAGTGAGAAGAATACGAATCTAAACTCGGAGTGTAGTTCTCTAAACTAGGAGTGTTTGCAGCCATTGGCGACCGTCCTAGGTAACCATAACTCTGACTCACTGATGAAGATTTCGTGCACGAACACTCGAATGGAGGGCAAGAACACACGTCTGCAACAAATTCAAGTATCCTTAAATATTTTGTCCCGTGAATATACATATTTCTGTCAGCTTTCTCTAGAAGAGAGATTCTGGACTTCTTGAATGTATATGGCGTTCGTTCAAAAATTGGGTTTGATACAAAATTTAAAGTAACATGTCAGAATAAAATCAAATTTTCCACCGTAAATCAATAAATTACAATTTATCTTACTTGTATTGGGGTTGTAGTCTCGCAACAGAGGAGGAGGTCCAGTTTTGAGGATCTTGACAGGAGGGCCACTGCCATCCCCGCCCCTCAACGAGCTGCCGGACAACGACCGCTTCACTCCTGTCGTGATCTGAAAACGAAGAATGATTCTATTTTTAACTGTGCCTTTAATTCTATTGCTCTGTTCTGATTTTTAATAAATATTGAATTTGTAATCTGATGCCAGAGAATAGTATTTTGGTATAGTAATAGAATTTGGGCATCGCATGTTATCTTAGAATTGCTATTTTTAAATACTGAGGACGGTTATTAGAGCAAACATAAATTCTACATTTTTTTATGGCGTAATAATCTTTTACAAGACACTCGTCAATTTCCCATTAGTGAAGAGCAGCTGAACTCAACAGTCGTGCGATTGTTCGAATATTCAAATGGCGGGTTGGTCCATAACCGTGGGCTTGTGGAGCGGAGTGATCATCTGTCTCTGCCTCACCACGTGCTCGCATTCTTATGCGTGGCCCAAGGTACAATAGTTCTATTACACTTTCTATGAGGCCCGTGTGCTACTTCTTCCGATTCATTACGGCATATTTAGGAACAAATATCAACTTGAAAATCAGATCGTGTAATTAATTAAAATTTCAACCGTTTACATTGGTTTTCTATATAAAAACATTAATTATAAGCTTGAATTTATTTAATAATATACATCTTTCCTATCGAATTTTTTCACGATGCTGGTATTTGTCTTAGCTCTGGATGTGTTTTTTTATTAATATTTGTGTATTCAGTAAAGATTTTCCGACTCTCCTTTCCTCGTACGTTCAAACCATCATGAATAATAGTATGATGCACCAAGCGTGTCCTCTCATAGAAATCTCATTCAAATAAGAGACACTGAGATTCCACGCCCCTTTCTCGAAGGATGTATAGGTTTGATAATTAGGTTTGCCCCGCATTCATGAGAGGGGTGATCTGTTGCGCGGCAGAGGGCGCTGTGACGCGCTAAACAATGTGACTGTAACGCAGTGACCTGCGGAAGCTGCAACGCCGGACATGTTCTTGCACTTCGTGTCTGACTAATGGCAAGTTTGATGAATGCTTCTAGTCTAATGAAAATGGATGGTTATATAGACCATGACAGCTCTTAAGTGGGCTCATTGCAGCATTGCCGTCAGCTGCGTGATCAGAAACATTTAGTGTTGCTTTTATAATTATGGAGTTATCTCTTAGAAAGGAAGTGTTTTTCCTACGATGGCAAGTTGTTGAAACTTGCTAAGTTTGACTTAGTCAGTTTAAATCCTTCGACATCCTTTTAAATTTAAGACGCTATTAATATTTGGACGCTTTTTGCTATGAAATGTTTTGTTGTTATTTTTAATTGTTGGACGTAGATTGCAAGAAAATCATCATAAATTTTTTATTATAAATTCATTTTTCTGCATTATCTGAAGAAGAATATTTAATTTCAACAATTAATACGAGTAAGGTTTCAATTTATAATGTGACAGAAAACGAATCTCGAGATTTTATTGCTTGTCCTGCGCTATTTTTATACCATGTGGTGCCTATTCACATAAAAAAAAAATACATCATTTAGTATCGTTTTGTTAAAATTATCTGCTTTTATGAACAAATTTGCCAGTTGAGAAACATCGTCAGCTAGCTGCACGGAAAAACTTTTTTGACAATCGAAATGCCAAGTCGTCGGGCTGTTTTACTTGCTAACGAACGTCGACAGATGTAAAGTTAAGCCGCCTGTGCAGTGTTTGCTCCAAAGCTCTGTGAAATATCCGTTAAAACTGCGCTTAATTTTGCACTGCGTCTCCAGTTTTACTCTCGAGGTTTTGGTTGTATAGGATGAGCCCTGTAGCACATTACATTGCATCAATTTCTATTTTTCTCTGAGATTTGGGCACGATTGTCATTAAAAAATATTATATAAAGCTGGAAGTTAGAAAATATATGAACGAATATTTACTAAACCAATATTATTGCTTGTGATTTAACCCTACAATGCGTCCCATACAATTGAGATGGTCAAGCCTGTGACTGAGAACCGTCGGTGTCTCCCAGCCATGCAACACAAGCCCTGGTCATAACTCGCGCTGCTATTAATGCCTCTTTAGCTCCATGACTTCACCCTCGATCACACGCACGCTAGGTGCCTTGCAACAAGAATGGCCGCGTGCTTAGCGCGTGTGTAAAAAACGCTACGAATCTGTGTTTATTGAGCTTTTTACAGCCGGTTCACTTTTTCTATTTGGATCGTGGTCACGGACATGACTGTTTAATATGATTTTTCTTGATTTAGATTGCTAGGTTGATTGCAGCATTGTTGCAAAATCTGTTACGGCGCATGCAACAATTCAGCTTTTTCAATGAACTCTTTATCTGTTGTTGCTTGCGCCCGCACACTCCATGCCTGCGGTTAAGTTCTCTGCTTGCAAAAAATCTCACTCGATGAACATTATTTGAAGTGCTCGAATTTACGGACATGTGCGGGCAGTGAGTAAACGAAAAGTTAATGTTTATTAAAGTTCTCACAATATAATTTCAATTGCTTAACTGTTAATTGGTGCACTGGTTCGCGTCATTGAGGGAAGATAGCATCCAACCCCAACGGAAATGAAAATTAACTATTTTTACAGACTATTTTTACATTAACGCTCGTTACGCCAGAACCATTTCTTTCTTACCACTAATCATAAACTGCGATTTCCGTCACCGAATGTTTCCTGTTGTGTACAATGCAGACCTGCATAACAGTTGCTGCAATGTTCCTTCTATTATCAATCATCAAGTTTATCCCAAAGAAAGATACAAAGACTGCGTTCAAGAGCCACCGTGAGTACCGTACCCTACGCTCAAGTGCCATCACGTCCATCGTTCCCATGGATCAGTCATGAATTCTTTGCGCCCAATTACACTTATACAGACGGTTCTCCCCTGTGTGGCTTTTGTGTGGCACAGAAGCCATACAGGCTCGGGCCGAGCGTACCATATATACTGATGACGACCAAGGGGCGTGTGGTGAACTCTGTTTTATGAACTGCCGCCACGTCACAATGATCGCTTAACGCGACTGAAATGATGTTACGACGAACTGCCCGTCTTTTTATCGAGATAATTTTTTTGAGGTGTGTTCACTGTTTTATTGCATTGAGCTTTGGTTATATTTATGCGGCTATTTACGACCGAAATTATTTTTGAGCTTGTAAACGGATGCGTTTGGGTAAAAATACATTCAGAACTGTGTTATAGTCCTTCAGGAAAATATTTTTGGTTGTTTAATGTTACTATACCTATTCCATAATATTCTGTAACTCATTTCTGAGTGCTCCTTTTCCATTCCGCCTGTTACTCCCGTATTTTATTTAATTTATAGTCTACTCAAAATTACTTGATTGCCTCCAAGTCCATCAAAAACAAGAAGCAGCGTGTCATAACGAAGTCAACTCGTCGCGGTATTTAGCTCATCAGGCATCACGACTACGCCTTTATTTTGTGCAGTTGTTTAACGGTCTAATACAAGGGTGTCCAGAACATGATTAAATTGAACGATCTCCATAGTTATGCAGGAGATATAGGATGAGTTATAAGACATGCATGAATTATTGGCATAAGTTCTGCATGAGTTATAACAAATAAACGTGATTTTATCATCGGGGTATGAAAATTAAAACTGGTACTAAGTTCAGCATGAGTTATAACAAATGAACGTGATTTCATCATCGGGGCATGAAAATTAAAACTGGTATAAAGAAAACATCTTTATACAGTGTATGAAGATGTTTTATTTATGGTTTTGCTTTCATTAATTTTATAGTTGTATCTAAGATGTTATTTTTATTGGTACGTATATGGCTAAACTCTATCATGACTAATATCAGTCTAGATTGATTGGCCTTTGACCATCACACATCACGGCAGAATAACGGCAGCGTTCAGCCAACATTCGTCCTCTCGTGAGATAAATGAACGCGATAAAATACGAAAAGCAAACGATCAATGGCAGTCAAACGGCCAGAAATTGTGACCTGGATCTACGCACTGATTGTGACTGGAAACTGGAGCTCCTGACTTGTTCGGTATTGACCAAAGAAAAGATTTTATCTGCGCTCACTTCTTTTGGAATGATTTCGCTGCGTCTATCGTTGAATATAATTTCGAAATTCCGCTGGCACGATTTATTTTTTCATTTTACCTGGATTCCTCGTTCCAGATTTTCCGTCCAATTGAGTTTAGTTGGAACAGAAGAGTGAACAAAAGTAGTTTCACTTCTAAGTTCCTAAGTTGAATCAATTGCACCAAAAACTTATTTGTTATGACTACGGTTATTTAATCTTATTTTATATTAAACATTAATTTTAGATACAATGGGTGATTTCGCATTTTATTGAAGTACGTTTGTTGCAAACAGTGATACGTTACTGCGCTTATAAATGCGGAGTAATAATCCTATGTAGCCGTCATTTCTATACCCACATAAATGAAAAGGCTAACTGAAGCATCACCTGGCCTGGTGTTGTTCGGTGGTACAAGCTAATTATCGCGTCTCTGATCTGCACCTCAGTTACCCTGACAGCCGCACGTGCCCTAAAAAAACACGTCTCTTTCTCAGGACGATCAAGCCATAATTTGTGAACACACTATTGACATTCGCTAAAAAAAGAATTCAACTATAGTTTATGCTTCGGACCATATAGCATTAATCTGAAATTACTTGAATAGGATTTATTCTTCTATTTTCGTTAGATGGATGCATATACGAATATTATGATGCCTGCAGACTTGACTTATTCGTTATCGGTTGCAAAATATGTTCCCAGTTGGACGCTATCAGGATAAATCACGTTCAGACTCCGCATTGTTCAGGCAAATTTCGGATCTCTTTTACGATAGTTGTCCTCCCACGCACTCTATACGATATCATCTCAAGTTGCTGGTCTGTGTGCCTGCATTCTGTGTGTTTGTGTGAGGTACCTCGTACATGATAGTCTAGTCAGATAAATTACAAATCTATTTAAGACTGCTTTACGGTAAACAGTGAAGTTTTGGTTCTATAAATACGAATATATACGGATTGTATTGCATCGATAGATGTAATCCTAGTCATTGCCAGATGTTTGTCTTTGCCTTTGCTCTCAAATGGTAAATAAAAAAGGTAGTAGGAGTAAAAATTTAAGTTCACATAGCAATGAAAAGCTCGGTCTACAAGTTATTTATTCGTTTCATGTACGACCATAAATCTCCCTGTTACTAACCTCAAATTACTGTTATCTCACCGACGCTTTCATTTTTCCTTCCTACCTCTTATTTGCTTTTGCTTAGGATTTTTGCCTCCCTTCTCTCTCTCACTTCCCTCTCTCCCTCACTTCCCTCTCTCCCTCACTTCCCTCTCCCCCTCACTTCCCTCTCTCCCTCACTTCCCTCTCTCCCTCCCTTCCCTCTCTCCCTCACTTCCCTCTCTCCCTCACTTCCACCTCTCCCTCACTTCCTTCTCTCCCTCACTTCCCTCTCTCCCTCATTTCCCTCTTCCCCTCACTTCCCTCTCTCCCTCACTTCTCTCTCTCCCTCACTTCTCTCTCCCTCACATCTCTCCCCCTCACTTCCCTCTCTCCCTCACTTCCCTCTCTCCCTCACTTTCCTCTCTCCCTCACTTCCCTCTCTCACACGGACGGTCGATACATGACTGTATGGGCCGCCAATGATGCTCTCGTACGCACCTAAAAGGCGGAGTTCCCCGGAATGGCAGCAAATACGGCGCACAATATGGCCACTTGTTGACTTCTCTGTTCATCCTGACTTTCTCTTTAGGACGCACGCCTAAATTACAATAATCATTTTACAAAGTTTTGAATGGCTTTTGTGCCACATGCAAAGGTTTTGAGTAACTTACAAGTTCTGATTATTATATACCTTATTTCATTTTCCTATTTCACAGTCGCACACATGTATGAACATTACCTAACAGGCCCTAACTTTGTACAGATGATACATTACCCAACATCCTGACTTTATACAGATGTGATAAGATAGTACATCGAATAATTTAAAGATAAAAGATCGTGTCAGAATAAATGATCATCAAATACGCTCAATATGACAGTGACTGAAACAACTATGTTATGGAAGTATTCAAAAACACTGACTAAGTTACTTTTCATTTCCAGCAAGGCTTAAACGCGGATTCCGCTGAAGGAAATCTTTGTGATCTCATTAGCAGGATAAAGCGGAGGGCTGCGAGATAAAGACCATTTAACGAGTGCTGGGGCAATAAGAGTGTCATTGAAGATTAGCAAGGCTGAACGTTTGGCCAACGCAGCTCCTGAGGATCAGCTTCGGATTAGCTGCTGCCATCACACTTCGGCTGCAGTTATAGGGTTCTATAGCAGTTTAATGCTTAGTGATCCTGTCTGCACATGACGCTTGCAATAATACTGCTAAGTGTTGCTGCTCAACACGATCAGAGTCGGAAAGCAGAGTCTTAGTGAAGTAAATTCGGAAAGCAATTTTGAGGTAGAGCAAAAGCGGTGAGTTTTTTGTGCAACCTTATAGCCCTGATTCTGCACGTACTCTTTCGGACATATAACGCAGGTGAAAATCTTTCGCAAGAATGACGTGGATCTATATAATAAAATGTTTCCTTACACGCAGCAAGAAATAACATTACTGATATATAGGACATATCAATGATCCGTCGTTTACGCAACATTCGGAACGTACTATTTATAAATATATTAGGGCAGTTACAAATTAGGCATTTATTCGCTTAATATCAATATATGTATCAATTTTCGGGACTGTCATCCTCATAACAGAAACATAAACAGCCGTGCATAAGCCACGGCTCCATACTACTGGGGATAATATCGTGGTTTTGTTTTGGTGCTACATTGCTTATCGACATCGACGGTGCGCCGTGTATCGATCGCGCCTTCATCATTCGCAATGCCAGATGACGGAAAGATAATAATGCTTAACGTCGCCTGTAGTTTTTAGTGGATGCTGCCGAAGTTTTCCTAACAACGCATCATAGAACAGAGTTTCGCAGAGATTATTTAAAATGAACGTAATATTAGTGCAAATGTGCACTGTGAAAATGTGAATTATTTGTAAAGTCGCTTGAGAGCAATTTTATTCCATGCTATTATTTGCCAAATGTGAAAATGAGACAATTTAGGCTTCAATGATGTTATTTGTTTGAGCTCAAAATCGATCTATATTGTGGTCTGAATGATTTAATTCTCATGCATCATTCAGATCAAACTCGCATATTTATTAATTATAATGGGCTGCATAATCATTTGCTTAAATATACCAATAATTCATGGAATATACCTTATCATCAATTACGGTCCATTTACGGAGTTCTAAAATTTAGCCTAACCGTTCACTAGTCTTTTGTTTCATAATTACAAAGCGTACTATTGCCGAAGTAGCAACATATACACGGCCTCCAGCCTATAGCAAAACTTCATGCGGGTCTGACACGCAAGACACACAGAGTGTGTGCTAATCCTTCTGGATTTCCCTGCCATGCTGTCAATGTGCATCATCATAGTTGTGTTGCTCACACAGGAATGCTCTGAAAGTGATTTAGCGATCCGAACAAAATATGTGCTCCATTTTATGTTAACGAGCCGGCGAGACGGGAGTGACGTACTCGTATATTACAATGTCACAGCTTCAGATAAAACGATGTACGTACGTTTAAAATATATTAATCGAATTATCATACTTTAACAACCTGTCTCTATCTGTATTCATCTTGACTAATTGAATAATGTAAGATTACTCCGCCGTGCATGTTGTCTGCATTTTGCTTTATATTGTATTAGAATTTTCCCACACTAATGCCACTGGACCATCAATGTGCGCGTTAACATTTTTCTTCAGGAGTTGCCACTTGATGTTGAGCGGCGGGCTTTATTGTCATGAGCGAGAGCGTCAGCTCTGCACAATGTGCTCCTCGATCTGATTGGGTACTCGCTAGATTGACTTGAAGATAGTGTCTCTTCTTGCCCAGGGCATCAAATGTCCAGCGAGGCATAAAAGATTTATTCTAGTGTGTTTATATTTCACTTACATTCGGCCATCTCATATATATATTTCACTTATATCGTTGTGTGGCAATAGGCAGAATGACATTATATCTTTAATATAGCAAATTATATTAGTTGGTTGAGTTTCTTTAATTGAATTCAATTATTTTGTACACGGCGCATTTTTAGTCATTGTTTGTACAAGCACAAGAGAAAGCAGTCCGAAAAAGTTTAGCCATATTAAATATTATGTATATGACATGGCTCTACCCTCTGAGCCAGCTATATAACTCTATAATTTTACCCTCACTCCACATACCCTGTGCCCTCAACGCCGCATTCCAAAGAACGACCCTCGACTATCACTGAGCCCTTTACGAATGCCATTGTCCGGTGCTAACGACCCTCGTAGTGCCTCCTAAACAATCCATTCAAATTACGGGCCTTATTTCAGGCACTTACGATGGAACACACTCAGTTATCTCTTGCCCAAATGACGCCATGGATTACTTGCTTCAATCGACCAGAACGTAAACTATAATCATACTGGACAGGGAATTCTGTATCAATATACTTTTTTCAACAGAAATTCAATTCACTTTTGGCAATTCAACATCACGGAAAGCATATCATTAATATTCTAAATCTCGATAAATCAAGTTGGTATAGTCTCTTCATTTGCATAACAGTACGGTGAATATTAAATATCGAATTGTTTCACGTTTACAATTGTAATTGAATGTGTTTTTATTGAACGGAATTAGATTGCATGTAAAGGTTCTAACGTTTGTGCCTCAAATTTATATCATACATTTAATGTATCCATGTAAAAATGAAATGCGATTACATTTATTGGTAAACATTACCCAAAATCTACATGTAATTAGGCTGAGTAAATGCTTCTATAGAAGCTGAATGTATCGATAAATGTATTATGCCATCCATTTGAGCCTCACAGAATTTAAAGAGATCCTTAACGATAAAAAGCTTTGCTATCGAAAGCAGGAGTTACGTTCGGAATGTGCTGGTGTTGTATTGTGTCCGCTCAAGTGCTTTTGTGAATCACAAGTGCTGCAGGGGCGCTATAGTCATGCTTTTGTCGACACATTGACCGACGTTAGTGCAGTAAAATAAACTCACTTTATGATTTACACGGAAAAATGTGCGGTATTTTGATTCAATAAGTCAATTTCTTTTTCTTTGTGGAGGCAGGGTATTTGATTCATATTAGTCGCAATGCTAAATTGTTCGGTCATATTTACACCATAAACCAAACCAATAAATTTTTAACTAACGATTGAACGGTTCTATATGTTGTGGAAATTTACGAATAAAACCTAACTAAATTAGCATAATTTCGTAATTTTTTTATTCATGATCGCCTTCCTTAAAACCTATCGAATTCTGGATGTATATATCACGTTTTCGAAAAATTTACTCATATTAATTATTAGTAGTTAGCCTTTTGAAAATTTTGATATATACTCATTTGTGTTAATACTCTTAAGACACCAAATTAAATATAATAAAACACGAGGTGGTCATTTCTGATCACTATATTCAAATCTCTGAACAGTAAAGTATGGACGGATATCTTTTTAATGTATTTTGTGAATGAATAACTATTATTCGTGATAGAGACATGTCGTATTCAACATATCTAATTATGTTTGAAACTACAAATGATTCTTAAACACGCAATCATATTTTTAGCGCATTTTCTCATTTATGGAAAAAATGCACTATTGTGCTCGCCATGTCCGTCTGTCCGTCCGTCAGTCCGTGACCTCAAGTTTTTGTCGACGAGAAAATGCGCTCTCTGTCACTCACTGCAGTGAGTACTGAGTTATATTTTTTGTAAATATACACACTTTACCTTATGTTCAAGTGCTCTGGTGGGCGGCCGTCGCGTAGCATGGACAGCTTTGCCCGACACCGACTTGCGCGCCTCCGCCGTACTTTTGGCTTCAGGCCGCGGGTGATCATGAACGCCTTTCGCCTGCAACGCAGGGACCTTCATGTTATCTTCTTGTTATTACAGGAAAACATATTGTATACGAGCATGACGTTATTCTTCAGTTTCCTATCCTTTTTATATGAAAGCATTTATTTGTCTGTAAGAAATGACGAAAATTAAGAAAATATTTTTAGCAATTCTTGTAACAATGTTTCTAAAAAATTATCCCACAATATTCCATGCTTTCCATTCGCTTTCGTCGCATTACCATGCAGACCGCTTTCATAATAATGAAACCATAATAACTTTTAACAATAAAGTTATTATTATCATCAGTGGTTATGGAGTTGTCACCTGGAAGAATATAGCGTGTTCAGTGTGTCGCCAGAAGTGGGTGACGGGGTAGCCACAGTGCCCCCTGCAGGGCATCAGCTCCAGCCGCCCCCCACACTGCTTGTTGGGGCACGGCCGACCCTGCTGCTTCTTGCGCGCCTTGTCGCAGATGGCCGGCCGTAACGTTACCTTTATCAATAATAATTATAAATAAAATAATTAATGAGGATATATGTATTGAAACTATTATACTTAGTGTGTATTTGATCATTTTTACATTATGCGGAATGGTAACAGGTCAACAAGAATTGCCAACAGCTGGAAATATGTTTTAGTGAGTATAAAAATACGGTATATGAACGTGAGACATACTGTATATCAGCCATCTCAAATAAGAAATGGGGTTTACTGAGTATAAAAATACTGTATATGAACCCGTGAGCCATATATCAGCCATCTCAAATAAAATAGAAGTGAATGAAAAATTTTCGCAGCAGCGCAAGCCTCCAAATAAATCAACAGCGACCTTGATTGAATAATAACTTACTTTGATACCAGATTCTGAGGTGCATCGCTGGTTACAGAGGACGACACCCAGACATGACTTCTTCAAGATGTTGACGTTATGATTGTTGGTGTTCCGCATGGCCCAGCCTGACGCGTGTTTACGCGCCTCCTCCAGTGTCGGGGCATACACGTGTCGGCTGTGCCCGTCCGACCACTCGCTGAACCTGTCGTACTGGCTCACCTGAAGGGCGGTTTGAGCATTTGTGTTAATTAATTATTCTGATTAGGCAAGGTTATTATTTTCTGAATATTTATTTCCCGACTATTCAACCATTTATTCTTCTAGAAGTGATTTTTGTTGCCTAGTGCATAATTATTGTATTTATTAATAATTTGTATCAATCAGCATGCATTCGTCTCTAAAAATTCTTTAAAGCGCATTAGTATGGGATAAAGTTTCTCTTTATTCCAATCAATGTACTCGAATCATCATTTGAAACAACCCAGAATACGTGAAAATATTGGATACCTTAATTGGCAATCAATTGTTCAACACTGAAAGATGAAATTTATTGTGTTAAATCTGTTGTTAATTGTAATTTTGTTGCTTAAATTACCGCAATTTAGCCATTACCGTCATATTTTAGTCTTACCTTTGGAACATTAGAGTCGTTGATATCCCATTCAAATGGATGTGACGGCGGAGTTTTTTGCTGTTGTGGGGACGGTGACGGGGAAGATGTGGCAGAGACGGTCGAGGAAGGGAGTTTTGTTGTGCAAGCGTCGGTCATTTTCACACCGCTGCACATCGCTAGATCCGCGGCTGCTTCACTGCTGCAATATCTGGTGAACCCAAATAAAACTTCAAATGACTAAATCTTTAATATTTTCGTGTTTTAAGGATGGAATACCGTTTGTATTAATCAAATCATTGTCAACTTGCAAATCAGCACTATGGGGCATGCAATTTTCGGTTCATTTCACCATGATTTGCTCTTTCGTAGAAGCATAAATTTAGTGAGCTTTTCGACATTAATAATTTAAATTCTTGTATTATAGGAACAGATAAGCTCTAATATGAAATAAGGTCCGCTTTTCGTCGTGCATTGTAACGTGGAACCAAGTTATTGAAATACGTGTTTTATTCACCGCAGACTTTCTGCGATGGAACAATTTCATTTATTAACGGGCATGTTAATTACGCAACATTAATTTCTCATTCAAATACATTAACCTTAATATTTTTAAATTCTTCTGTGTAGTCGAGGTCCGGATTTATTTCAGGCATGAGTATAGGGCCATGATTATCATGACAATTATTTCAGTAGCCAAGGATATACGGAATCGCATTGTGCATGATCCACATATGATATCGAAGAAGAAGGCATGCATATTGCATAAATAATTAAACTTTTGTATAATTCTTTCCAAGTTTTAGGGGTGCACTAGACTAACTATAGTACATGACGATGCTTGAACTCGAAGTTTGTTCACTGGTATGCCCAAACAGTGCATGAAATGGAAGCCATGCCAAAAACTAAAAATGAATTCTCTTACTTCTACATGAGGTATCTATAATTTAATAATTATTTTCATACAACTATCTTTGAATTTATGAAATTTTATAAAAATATTTTATTAAATGATATTTTTCAATTAAAAAGACGACGAATCTCGAGAAAGTCTGACATCAGAGTTTCATGCAATGAGGTGAACGGCTCGCAAGTTAAATGTTTCTATTTCGTTTTAATGGCCTCGAGCGGAGTTCTGTCGGCGCTGGTATTTTGGGTTCGCTTAAATTCATTGACCTCAGTATCGATTCTCAACTAATAGATTTTAGTGTTATGTCCCCATTTTCATGTTCATTAAGAATCGTTTTACTCTTCAAATAAATTATGCGTGATCATGTAGCAATATAGAATTCATCATTTATTCACGTGCTTTTGAACATCATTCATGTCATCGTAATTTTTATGAAGGAACCACGAAATTTTTATGCTATTTTTTGCTAAATGCAGACATTTCTGAAACTTAATAATGATGCATTCACGTAAATCTACAATTGATTATAATATTTTCATTGAGTTAACAAGCATCTCTTCGATTTTTTCAACCTATGAAACGTACCGTCAACAAGCACAATTTATTTCCCTGGTCAATATATTTTACGTTAAGCACAACTACACACTCATGAAGTATGGTGTTCACTCCACTGCAAGCACCACACAACCACACACTACACAGACACACAGCGTCAAACAGCACCTGCTGTGCTCATACAACTCTCAGCTCTCACTCGACCTCCATCTTGTGTCCAACCCTCTCTCTCAACCCCTCTTATCCTCTCTCTCTCACCCCCTCTGACGCTCTCTCTCTCTAACCTCTCTCACCTCTCTAACCCTCAATTAATCTCATCCCCTGTTACCCCTTACCCCTGTTATCTGACAAAATATTTAATGTTCTTGTACTGTATATAAAATAATATCCTTACATAAATAAAATATTGAAATTCGAACGTGATGCAAGCTAAATTTGATAGAATTTGAACGAATAATGAAAACACTGGCAAAAAATGTGTTATACCTTGGTTTGTTCAGATACAATTGCGCTGATACATTCATTGGGAATGCTAAAGTCGTTTACATTCGATCGACTGTCCTCCGAGTAAGAAAACAATTATCGGATTTGGGGATCTCAGCTTGGCATTACAAAAGTAGATCCAAACCATAATTCGTGTATATTCGTAAATTTATTCAAAAGTAAAATATATCATCTTCACTGCATGGTAGCGGATATTCATTGATTGTTATCATAGAATTTTCATTTTAACTCTGTGCAAAGTATAGTTGATATGCACATATTACACATATTATCCCAGTGGACTGAACCCCACAAGTTCGCGTTTGACCCTAAGGAGTTTGTTGGTTGTAATGCTGTGAGGAGACGTGCTTTGTCTTTTCTTATAGAGCAGAGTTCTCTTTTGTTTAGCTCGACGCGCATGGCTTTTGACCGTCTATTGTACGTCAAATGCGTGCAACTCTGCAAAAAATGGATGGCTATTGAAAACTATTCATCCCGGTTATTCTGCCTTTAATATTAAATTATCTTGCGAATCAAAGGAAGTATGTGCTAGTAAATAGATATTATCAATTGTTTGATGTTCAGTTTCCCGCAACCTCAATATTATGATAAGTGTCCCATTAACTCAACGTTTCTGGTCAGTTGTATCATTGTTACTTATCAGGAATGAGCTCGATCTTTTTTTTCATTTTACTCCAAGATACCAAACATTATTTGAACAAAGCAGTAGATATGGATTAATACCTGTTTCTCATCGTATTTGTTTTGATGAAGTTTGCGTATTATAATAAAAAGTTTTCGATCATCAGTCAGAATAAGACTATTTTTACGCATTAATCCCGCTTAGTAAGAGAATTATTATATTCAAACAAATCTTATGGTCGAGAAATTGTAAAGTCTCACTTTGTCTAGAATTTGTCCACCTTGATGGACAATCCTTACAATAAGAAAAAAATTTTGGACTCGTGTGAGTTTGCACTTGACTCAAAGAACGAGTGTCGTGTGTCTAGCCCGACAATGGCTGGGACGGGACAATCTCTCACAAAGCTCCTCACAATGGAGTAACTTGATCAGAGCTCATTTATGCTGTTCTGGTCAAGCTCTTGCTCCGACACTGAAGGTTTTAAAGCCGCATCTCGTCGACCAATGAGAGGGAATTGAACGACTTATGTGCGATGAAGATGACCAGCGTAACGTCTGCTTCGGCCTTTTATTATGCTTTTATTAGTGATAAATGCTAATACTTTATGCATTACTTCTGTAAGTCTAATGCAACCCTCATATCATTGTATCATATTATATACATATTATTATGCTATGCAAGTTTGATTGAAGACTAGAGAATGTTAAAATATTCTTATTATTTTTTCCAAAGAGTCGAATAAAATTTCTTGCTGGCGCTTGGAGATAAAAAAATTGACAAAATTTCTTGCTGGCGCTGAAAGATCCTTTTTGTCTCCCGGCGCCAGCAAGAAATTTTGTTCGACTCATTGAAAAAACGAATAAGAAGATTATTAATAAGAAGCATGGTTTGGTCTTCAATCAAACTTGCATAAAAGAAACCCTTCTGCCTATATTACAACAATATTATTAAATGTATGTAATCGAAAATGCATATTATCATATGTATATCCTATATTATATTATACAATATCAGAAATACACCCATTTTCAAGTAAAACAAAATGTCAAAAATAATACACGCACAAAAAATCCATCTTAGTTTTTAATAAATATATTTTTTATGTGTGTCGAGAGGTGGTTATTGCGATTTGCATATTTTAAAATATGGCAATTTTCCATTTACTTGTGTAGTATTTGCGTGCATTTATCATATATTTTCGTATTGTTATGACACTCTCTACTATGAATCGTAAAAAGTTTTGAATTGCAGTGTAAATTCACGTTGCCTAGCAGTTCGTAGTAATCAGCGGCTTTAACAGATGGTTGATTAGGATCTGTGAATGAACAAGTTGAATAAGATAATCATTTATCCTTGTGATCGGGTTCACGGATCTGGCGAGCGCTGAGTAGATGATCCGTAACAGGTGTCTCTAGGCTAAGATTACCCAATTAGGCAGCAATCAATAGCAGCGCTGTGCAAACAAAGGGCTGGCAGAGCGTCGCTACTGATTAACTCATCAGAACAAATAACTGCGATCAAGTGACAATGCTTCTGAACGTCCGGCTATTTCTTTCCCATGACAGATGCGCTGCTGCAAAGGGCTTATGTCAGCGCCTTGAAACCAATACCTTCAATTTGAACAACTAATATTGAAGATTAAAATTTTATTTTAAATTTAATTTAAAAGAATTACTTCTTAAATTTGAACAACTGTTGTTGTTAGTTCAATAGTTGTTCAATTTGAGTAACTGTTTGAAGCATAAAATTTGATTTTAAATTCGATTGAAACGAATTGTTCTCTCACGATATACTCTCAACAAGTAAATTTGATGCTGCATTCCTTTGCAAAAACGAACATAATTGTTATGTTATTCAATCGAAATGAATAAGCTGCGCGAGAGGAAAAATACATTTAAGCATGAGAATTTTTTTTTCATTCAGCCAAACTGGAACATTGCTGATGCCTTCATTGATGAATTGTTTATAAGGAACCCATATGTTCATTGGCTTTATAGTTGCTTTAAGGTTATCTCTATTATTTTGTACAATTTGGCAGATTCTCCAAAGGGTTGCATATTCGCTCATTCATCAAACTTTAGATATTTCCACTTCCCTGTTGGTTAAAACTTTATAAACTTTACATTTAACTTATATCTTATGCTTGAATGCGTTGGGTAAAGTCCACGTATAAAATGAGGGCAAAATTAGTGAGCCTCTCCGTTCAATGGAGGTGCTCCGGGCCACAAATAATGTCTTTTTTCTCGTGGGAGCAATAGTTTGTCCACAAGTTATGACAAAATATACTCATATTTTTGGCAGCTGCGTGTTTGGCTTTGTGTGCCACTTGAGTCTATCTCCTGAAAATCTTCCTCGTTACTGGAAGCAGATGCTCTGCCCCTTCTATAGCTTACATTCAATCGTATTTCACGTTGATTGTTGTTATCAAATAAATTTATTTCCAATCTAATGCCGACATTTTCTAGTCTGCTTCTGTTTAGGGCTCTTGAAGTCATTTGACATAAAAACTGCTGCAGTAACTGGCTTTAAATTGAGACTTATGTATTTTCCTAAAAGTCTTACCACAAGCCATTACATGATTATGGAAATTGCGGTGAAATTTAATTTAAGCAGTAACACATTTTGGTTACGTTCATAAAAACTCCGTCCTGCCAATAACGTATGAAACGGGTTTTGATTTAATTTTAATTAATCTAGCAGATGTATATTTGGAACCAACAAAGCAAATTCTCTGGAGAGATCGTCAATGCTGTTGCTGATTCTTCAATGTTATTTTGTTGTCCACGAAAGGTAGGAATTTTACGAAGGTTATATTTCAATTTTATATTTTTCATTGGATTTAGCTAACAAATATACAAAAAATTCAGGTTATTCACTACCTAGTAATAACTGACCATTGGTTTGGGTGCGATCTCCCATTGTAGTATTGTTTACGTTTATCGTGATGGAAATCGGAGCGGCATTTCGGTAACACCCGCCCGTCGTTTATACAATACTTTTGAGGGCTCTTTCATGGTCAACGACGTACATCACGAGCGACGACTGAACTTACTCTACTGTCCTACTTATTAGAATGTTTTTATTGGTGCGTTATTAGCTATTTAGTTGCTCCTCCGAACTATAGCTTTCTGATTGCCTCGCGCATACAGTAAACTTTTCTTATTTATCTACTAGTAGATCACGCTTATGATGTTATCTACTCGGTGTAATAATGATTTAGATTTTTTATAAATATAAAAATCTAAATCATTATTAAAAATCAGACAAGAACTATGAATTGTGCAGCATAATACATCTTTACCAATAACGTTAACTTTATGAAAAACGAGATTCTAGTTGTTATTGCTATGATTGATGAGTATGATGAGAAGATTCTCTGATCCTGTTAATACATTGGAACTAATGTTTATATAAGAAATTATATACATAACAATGTCATGTTTATACGATCCTAAACGCCTAGAATACCTTGGACATTTCTAATTAAAGTTTATAATTTTTTGCAACTTTCAATATCAATTTGTTCATGTAAGTGCAATCTATAATAACTGCATCGCTTCTCTCTCATTTTATTGCTCAAAGCGGGCATTACTTTTCTATCGCCAACTTGCCGTGCAATGCGCCAGAAAATTATTGTTTCTAGCATTATTAAAGCCGGGATAATGCTGTATTAACTACAGCTATTTGTCCTATGGTTGAAATCAATTTTTCTAATTTCCAAGTACGTATTGGGTCTAAAATTCTATTTAATTTTGAGACTTAGAATTTTGTTTCTTTTGAAACCTTACTTGTACTCAAATTTGTATTCATGCTTTATTTACAGCATTTATTTATTTTTTAAACTTAATTACTTCTCTCACTCTCTTTGAAATTTTTTAAATCTGTGCACCTAATAATTGAAAAAATTAACGAGTACATTTTAAATTCAAAATCATCGTAAGTAGTCGACTAATGGAATTGTAATCCACTTTTAATTGCTGTGAATGCCGTGATGGATGACCAAATTATTCATGTATTTTCTCATGTAGTGCCATTTTCTGATGGGTACGAAGTTAAAAAAGAATATTCTTGTCCATTCGATGTAATCCGATCGAAGTGATTCGAATCATATAAAACGTTTCCTCTTATATTCCTTATCGTGGAATAAATTCCAAATCAACCTATAGAAAGTCCACTGCACAAATCATACAAGCAATATTAACCAATTATTTGTTGCTATATGTTGATGAAGCTGCAACGCAATGGAACAATTCATGCTACTAGGTCTAGTGATTGCAAAGGGAAAAAAATAGGATTTTTCTGCATAAATCCACGGGATCTACTAAGTAATATTCAATTACGAGTCACTTGGCTAACTTGTAAAATGCTTAGGAAGTTTATTATGTTACTTACTGTTATTGTGTTATACAAACGCACAAACAGTATTTTCGCAAATGATACATGAAATCACAATAGTTAAAGGTTAAGTCTAACCGAGTTTTTTTTTCAAACACAATTATCTAAAAATTACTTTAGATAAAACTTTCTTTACTAATATTGTAATGAAAAATAAGTTTAATTGCAATAATAATAAATAATTAAATAAGTTTAATTGCAATTAATTAAAAAAAATTTAGGAATCTTATATCGGGAATGATTTCTTTGATAAGCTTTTCTTGAATTACAATTTGCGATAGAGCTTCCTCGACAGATCACTCAAGTTTTGGACTGCATTGCTCAATATATACTAAATATGTACTTAAATGAAAGCGAAATTTCTATTTGAGACATAAAATAATTAAATAATACTCACGAAATGACCATGACGTCTCTGCACGTTGAAAAGTAGTAGCCGTAGTTTACTGACGAGTCTTCATTTCTTTGCGCTGGCTAATCTCCATGTTATTTTATTTTTCGATGATTTTGAGAAGATCCTTTGATTTAATAATATCACGATCGAGTTATTGCATGCGGCCCTTGGAAATAAGTGGAAGAGGATTAACAAGTTGTTACGTAAATTGCAGATTTAGACGCTTATCATTATACATATTTTAATATGAAACGGAATTAGTTAATTAATTTTCGAAAACATTTACAGTGTAATTCGCCAATGCACGATGGGCAAACAACATTCATTTACAAGACGTATTTTGTGGTAGTTTTATTATTTACTTGGAAGGATAGGTTGAATGTGCATTGCGCGTTATTAACCATTAGAAATGTTTTCTTTGTACTACATGTGTCGAATAACAAAATTCAATGTATGGTGTACTGTTCAGTGTAGATATTTCAGTCTTTTTAGTGTGTTTTCCTTCAGTGCGAATTCTGAATTAGAGAACATTTTCCAAAATTTTTAAACCAAAATATTATAATTCCTTTTTGAAGGCTTAATAATCATTATTATTCAGAGGAATAATGAATATTAAATTATTTATCGTTTTCCCGTTGATTGAGTTGGTTATGTTACTTATATTATAAAGGCGTAACTTAGCTTTTCATTTACTTATAAATCATATTACAATGATAAAACTTATTTCTGCGAAGCAAAATTCGCTATTTTCTTATAGTGTATTTAAGTTTACTCAAAAGTTTTGAGCTTGATGTTGAAACATTGGTTAAAATTAAACATCGTCATGTGCGATAATATTTGATAATTTTTTTAAATTCCATTTAATTAATTTGTGAGATTAGATTGTAAGAAACTACTTCAGTACTCATAGAATGCTAGCATTAGAAGAAGAGTCAACACTATAAGCTTAGAATTAGTTGTAACAACCTTGCTTTGTAAATGAGGTTTAATCTTTTGAATCTCAACCCAAATCACGTGAACCAAAAGCTATTTATGGAGTTGATATCACACGGGTGGCCTTCACAAAGCGCATTCACTTTAATTTAACCCTTTTACTAATCGTGTTAAAATACTTCAATTGGAAACCGAATATAATTGAAGCTAGGAACCGGACTCTAACCTGCATGAATAAACCCTCAGTATGTATAAGAGACCAGCGCGTATGAGACCGAACCGCCGAGACGGCGAGTCACTTTGTGGTTGACTTCTGCCGCGAACACCGCGGTTGTTGTGCTGAGCTCCGCCCTGCCGAGGCCTGAGCCGACCACGCCTTCGTTGCATGCCGCTACTTGATCGCGCACTGGGGCACTGGAGCAGCAGCGTTCAATTGAAAAATCCACTGCCTTCACGTAAGAATTCGGCGTATTCGAAACTTGAACAAATTTTAAAAGAGTTGTTAAAGAAGAGCTTGTACACTCGGTTAAATATGGAAGAGCGGAGAGAATGTTTTGAGCTGAATTAGTTAGATTTTAGTACTTCAAATTCTAATAGATTGATTTTAATTTGTTTCATTTAATTGATTGGTGTCCAACATGCAACTGATAAAATAAGAAATGTAGGGATATCATTTGTTCATCGTTTTTTCAACAAATGATGTTTTTCTTTGCGAGGAATGTCATAGAATTTCTGAAGTTTTTGTGGTTAAATGAAGTTGAAATGAACTTTAATTAGAAGTTTATTTTTCATTAAAAAATTTGCTGGCAGTTCAAGATTAATTATTATTAGAGAGGAAGCAATACTGCTAATAAAATAAAGTTAACAAAGCAGGCAAGTCAATAATTTGGTTTTATTTAATTAACTTTAATCTAGTATCGTTATTTGTGTTAGTATCGTTATTTGATTTAACACACAAAATTATTCTCTAACATAGACTGGCTCAGGAAGGCCAAGATCTGGCGCTCTCCAGGCAAGAGGTCATCGGACAGCGAAGGCGGGACACGCTAGGGCAGCCCGACCAATGCTGGCGCAGAGGCGGGCGAGTCTGCGTTCTCGGACTCTTTTCCATCGGCTTCAGCTACTTAGTGCTGCGGAATTGATTAATAAAATCATGATAAATAGGAACGAATTATGCTGTGGTTGTGGTCACCTATAAAGGATTGGTTCTTAATGCGATTGAAGAACTTTCTCACAACTGTGATACTTAGTGCAATTTTGGCTGATTCCTGTAATTCCCTGCTTGTCTGCTCCGAAAAATGTTGTGTTTAAAGCTGTTGTATGATCAAGTAAAATTCAGCGCGGCAGTTGAGGGCTACGGTGGTCGGTGTATTCAAGTGAAGATTTTATCTGAACTTACTCCTAAAAACGAACGCTGATGGAAGTTTTTAAAGGAGCTGGTGCAGCAAATGATTTGCGGTGCGCCAGGCTGAAAGTTTAAGCTGTTATTTTTTTTAAATTTCATAAAGTAGCATATTCAGGCGCAACCAAAGTCTTCTTGCAACGAGGTCAACGAAATTTGATTTCCTAGAACATCGTGATATTCCATTTTAATAAATGAGATAATATAAATAGATTGAATAATACATATAACATCAAACATTGCAGTTCGAGAATGTAGCATTCCAGTTCAGTGTTATATATTGCAGCTCATGGACTTGGGTGCCGATGGCGTGGAAGTACACGGAGAGCGAGGGTGAGGGAAGAGGAAGGCTTTACACTAACGAGCTTCAAACAGCGTCACCTGACGACTTCTCACGCCGCCTGACTTCTGCTGACATGGTGTATTCGCCATTCTCCATATTCTGTTGATTATATAAGCATTTCGGACACTTTTCTTAATTGCAGTTCCGTTTCTGTTGCTGAAGTGAAGTGCCTCTCACCTCAATTCTTTAGAAATGCTGCTGTTGGAACATCTCACATTAATGTTATTGTCATAATTCTGCTTCCTCTGTTGATTATTAAGGCTTTTAAATTGATTACTGACAATACAGCAAAGCAAGTCCTGCTATCTCAGTAAAATAAATCTTCATTTTCAGCAAAAAACTGCAACTGTTGTAAATTGTGAATGATTCGAATCAGCACAGAGTTTTGACTTGATATAATAAAACAGCTACCTGTATTATTAACTGCACTGGGATCATGATTTTTAAATTACTTACAGGTTATATGATTGAAACGTTTTTGAAGCGAGACCTGCAGAAAGTTTTAATCTACGGATTTTGTTGTGCATCTTTTAGAATAATAATTACCTCAGAAGTGGTGTGATTTTGGAGTGAGACATCACGTGATAGATTTAACGATTTAAAGTTAATTGAAGATCATTTATATCATAATCTAGCCAACAAAAACTGGCTTGTTTAAAAAATGTGTGGGCTGTCAACTTCTTTTCACTAATTCTATTTTAAAATCGTTAAATTTAGTATTGAGGAAGCGTCCGATTGCACCTGCTTTAAGCAACAATTAAAGTCCCTAAGGTTTTGCAGTACGAAATTGTAGAATTCTTCTGAAACAAATTTCAGCCGACAATTTTTACATTCGAATGAGTGTTTAGGACGAATTAGATTCTTTCATTTTAGTTCCAAAGAATATCGCTTTGCAGTACTCGGCATGATCCATGACGCGTTAGTATTTGAATTATATTGAAAATGTCATGCTTTGCACGAACTTTAAACGGCATAGCAACATGTGGCTCATTTTAAATTTTGACAGACAGGATTTCGTTAATGGATTAGATGAAATTGTAATCTTGATGAACTCACTCTATATCGTGAGAAAGTTTTATTCCACAGGACCGCGTGGTAGATACACTTGTCTTGCTCTATCTGAGGGTGTGGGGTGGTTGCTACCCTCGCACTGCTGTCCATTCTGTTCTCAGCTTTACCCTCTTTTGTTGGTTAATTTGCCCTCTCTGGGGAGTCGCCCTACGCATTCCAGCACTTGAGTTACCCTTCCTCCCGGTCCCTCTTTTGATAACCACGTGAAGTTTTTTCGCCCTTCGATATACAACGTTATAATCGAGTTACCAATTTATGCGAAGCCGCAAAAACTTTTTTCCAAAAAATATTGTTGGAATGATGATAATGTAAACAAATATTTTCAAGTATACAAATTTTTTATACAAATTATGTATAGTTGCCAAACTACAGTAACAAAACTTCCCTCGAATTAAAAAAAAAAGAGAAGCAATTCCTTTAATCGTGAGAGAGTAGAAAATTTTTGGTCAAAATTTTTGAATAGCTTTTTCTTTTTTGGAGCTTATATCAACTCCAGCATCGTGAGGTCGATATAATAGGTTTATGGTATAAAAACCAATTTATAATTCCACTTGGACTGTACTAAAACGCCTACTGACAACAAAGAGCCCCCACATATGTAAATTTAGGTTATTAGGACTTATTGCCATTAATGCCTGTTATTTTAAGACTTGATGATTTAGCCTTCCAAGAGGCCGTGGAAATGAGCTTGCATTATTTTTCCAATATGTCCATGTGATAAGCGATCTCGAGACGAACGCGTGTGAAGGCCATGGCTTACATTAACAGGGGTACCTTATCTCTAATGAGAAAGACGAGAGCAACTAACGCGCAAAGCCACCACCAGAACAAATACATTGCTGGATTCAGTTTTAGATGCTCGCATACGGTGATGAGGTTCCGGTCCGTGTTCAACTTACTTGAATTAGTTAATTAAAAAAAAGGAAATATGTATTCAGAAAATTGGATTTTGGTGTTAATAATTTTATTCCGGGCGAAGCGTTTAATGAACGAAAGTTAATTGTGTTGCTTCCAGTACGCGTGTGACGTGTACTTTTTGTTTGTATAGCCGACAGCGCATAGCCTATTGCTTTATCCTGGAACGCGGCCATCTGTTTATTACTGCATTTGCTGTTGCTAGGAGTAGAGCTATGCTGCACTGCTCCATAGGCTAATTTGCTATAGTTGTCTCGTATATTTCTTGTTTATATAAAATCGTAGTTAGGTAAAAGTTCTTCAATGTAATGTAAATTCATTATTTTATTTTGACAGAGTAAAGTATAGGCTTGTTTACCGCCTGATAACTGTCGAATTTAAAGACAGAGGCCATACTTTCAAAACTCGCTAAGTGAACGTAAGTTCTTAAGCTCTATTTTCTTGTCTAT